TAAATGCTGAGGAATGAATAGTTTACTTCAAGACCTGAAGGCCTGAGGTTTGATAAGGCGGCAGCATGGATGACTCATTAGCAGATGTGCAAGGTGATAACAGCAGGGCAGCAACCAGGTTACATCTAATTGTGCAAGCCATTCTTTCCTGTCATCCCAAAAGGAGACAAACTGTAGCCAAACGAAAAAAAAAAAAAAACCAAATTGAGGAAGCAAAGACAGTGCCTGTATTCATGGAGGAAGAAGAAAACATGATGCTGAGTCGAAAGAATTGTGTCATAATAATCAGACTCCTAAGGGGTATAAAAGACCTGTCCAAACAACCCTTATCCTCCATGTTGCTTACAATAGACCCTGGCCAGACTATGTGGGCACATGTCACATGTGACACATGTGCTTGTCAGCTCGTGCATGTGAGAGGGCACGAAAAATCTATGAAAGAATGAGCATGAGTAAAATTAGTTTTCTTTAAAGATAAAATCAATCCCTCCTTCCATTAGACCTTTCAGTGAGTTCTGATATATTACTTTCCTACAATACCACGTTCTTTCTCCTCTCTCTCGCTCTCCTGCTTGAGTAAGCCTACTTTTCTCATTCATCTTTTGCAAGTAAGGAACCCACCAAATGCCAGATATGCTGTTTTTATTTTCCCATATTCCCAAATACAGATGTGTGAGGGAGTCGCAAGGCAGTGCTGTCGTGAAGGGGGACATATTCTGTTGATGCTGCTTGAGGCCTGGCACAAGATCCCTGGGCCATCTTCACTCACTCAGCTCCTCATGTTGCACTGTCACAGCTGCCTCACACCAGCAATCTGACTTTTTTGTATTCCGACGTCCTGACTATTGCTGCTCTTCCAAGCTGCCTTTGCGGAACAGCTGCCCGTATCCTTTTGTGACCTCGCCAACTCAAGCAGGGCTCCAGATATGGGCAGCAGTCGGCCTGCTGAAAGGGGAGCCTCAGAACTGCCTCTGCCAGTCCAAAATATGCCCTCTCCCAAGGAGGCAGCTGGGGAAAAGAAAATTTGTTAGCCAAATACTGGAATGGCACAGAAATCTCTTTGGCCTTAATGCACCACATTCACAGTAGAGAGAAAACCTGACTATTTTAACATCCAGCCTAGTCTAGTTTGCTGCTTGGGTAGGGTATAGATTTAAATAGCTCCATTAAATCATTTAGACACTGCCTCTTATCCTCCCTGATACCAAGGCAGGACTTGTTGTCAAACAGATTGAAAGTTAAGGAAGCAGGAAATAATGGCATGCCTAAAGCATGACCTGCCAAACAGATGTGTTAGAGCGTCTTCCCTCAGCCTAACTGCTGGCATTTCCTTTCCTACCGATTTTTTTTTCCAGAAGCTAAGTCTCCAGGCACTCTCTCTTCTCTGGCTTGTCCTTCCCAGACTGCATACCCATCCCTGTGCGCTGTACGTGGGGCAACACTGATGCCTACTGGGTACAGCCTGGAAGTGACATCCCTAAAGCGGGCACAACCTGCTAGCGGGTTTGTGCTATGGTATCCATGCTTTCCTCTGTCCGTTAACTCCAAAGGACATTAGACACCCAGACAGTAATTAATATTATGTGACTGAACTCCCAGTTCTCTAGCCTCCTCCAAAACTCAGAATTATTATTTTCTGATTCCAGTTTTGCTATCATCACAAAAGAGTCCATCACATTATTTGAAACCTATTGTCAGCATGTACAGTGCTACTACAAATGACTGGATATGCCTTGCAGAAAAGTAGGAGAAAGAATAGGACTGGCATGTCATGACAGTGGGCATTTTGTTCCTCTATATTCTGTCACTTGCTCCAGATGGTTTGCAGTGATGGTGACGCTCATGTCATCAAATGGAAATGACGTTTCATTGCCACCAGCAATAGCATGGGCAAGGTGTATATGTGTTAGACAGACTAGTTTGTGTTAAGACTAATCTTAAAAGATCACAGTAAATGAAGAGCAACATTTTCACTTGGAGCTGGTGGCTGTAGGTGCCAATGTAGCTGGTGCCCGTGTAGCCAGTGGCAGGGCTCATCAGCACTACTGTTGTCCCAGAAGAAGGGTTCTTTTTACCTGGTGTGCAATAAGCCAAAAAATACACAGAGCTGAGATGTTTAATTCCTATCTGTGCAGAGATGGGTGCTAGGTGGTAATTCCACAAAGCTAGCACACCCTCGTTACTACACAGCACATGCTTTATACAGTTTTAGCAACAGTTATCAGTACATTTTACAACTACATTAAGTCATCCTTGTTCCCATTGGTTCCTGCTAGGTCTCGGCTTCGTTTAAAGTCACAGTATCCTCTTTTTCTACTACGCATGCTCTATGGGGAAGGGGCTTTGGTGGGTAGGGGGCTTTCCTGCTCGTGGGTGGGTTTTTTACTATGCTAATTAGGATAGTTTACCCATAGCTCAAGTAGTTCTCTTTGGTTTATCAGCTGTTTTTGTTCTCTTCAGGCTTATTTTGGTACTCCCTTCTCTGGCTGACTTTTGGTGTCATCTTGTTCCTTCCTTCAGGGCTATGTTTTGTTAACTATCTGTGAAAGATCTAGTAATGCCCTATTCTCCTCTTTTGCACACCTCCAACACTACTGCTCTTCTTCTCATGAAGAGCTGGTCAGATTCTTCTCTTCTGTTCCTGATGTTTCATTCGCACACCTTGAAGTGAGAAAACACCTCCTCTGACCAGTGTCGCTTCACCAGTAAATCAGAACAAACTGTAATGGGAAAGAGAATGTGAATATCCACACACAACACCATGGACATAAACAGGACGCACAACATGTCTAAACGGTGTTTCCTTAGCTGAAGCTCTAGAGAAAAAAGGTGCCTCTCAGCACTCTGGCTGGGGCTTTAAGAGACCCATATGCAAGATTTGCTCTGGCCTGGCCATCTGAGAGGCACCACACAGGCAAGTGTAGAACTCAGGATAGTGCAGCCCATAGAAGAGGGGTTTGCTCTGGGGTGCTCCCTAAGAGTTAAGAAACTCGTGCATCACGGCCAGAGTCACCACACTGGGGTTGCTGAAGCCTAGTGGCCCATCCTCCAACAACTCCATGGTTGCTGAAAAAACCAAGTCAGCAAAGGGGAAGTGACACTGCAGACTCACACCAAGGAAAGCATCTACGTACTGTGGAATGTGAACGATCTATTGATATGCATACTGCTATCCACTGAGCTTTGGGTTATCTGTTGAATATGCGCACTGCTGTCCACTGAGCACTGGGTTATCTGTTGATATGCGCAGTTATTGACTGAGGCCATACAGCTGTTTTTTGCAGAATTAACTAAGCCCAGGAAGGATAAAAGAAAAGCCAGCTGCACACCTCCATGTTGACTCCAAGGCACCCTCAGCTGGCTTGCAGACCTGACAACCCACCCAGACAACCCACCCATCAGCAGGGGCACCTCTGATGCCAACTGCCAGGGAGGACATCAATCACCCCGGAGCAGCTAGAACATGGTGAGAACAGTCTGGGGAAAACTGTTACCAGAGGGGTGACCTCATAAGGACAAGGAAAGGGTGAGAATGGTTATTACAGCATGCATCTGTGGTTTAACTGTAGGGCTTTGATATGTTTTTAGCTTTGATACATTTTCAGTTGTGTTACATTTTTAGCTTTGATATACCTGTAGTTTGTAGATTGTTTGGTGTTGTCTAACCTCTGTTATATGTGGTGAACCACTTATCTCTAATAAACTCCTATACTTGACAAACTACTTCTCTTGAGCTCAGTGTGACTAATCCTGGAATCATAAAGAATCCTGGTAGCCCCTCTATTGGCACATCACACCATTCAGCATCTCTTTGAGCAAGCGACTTGGATGCAGATACAAGGAGTTCTCAGAAGCCAAATGTGGGATTCAAGTGGGACTGAGGGGCTGAAGATCAAAGCTGCAAACTCAGCTGCTGCTCAGCCCAAAGGCAACTGCAGTCCATCACCATCTAAATTTTTGACCTTCAGGTGACCTGGGTGTCTTCTTTCCACCTCTTCAGGGACCTCCCCTACATCCCCTGCAAGGAGCTGATTCACTAGTCATTCTCAAAGCCCATCAACCACAAGAGGAACCGCCCTTCTATACAACAGGGCAATTGTTAACGTAGCTCAGGAGAAGGAGATGCTTCCTCAGTTGGGGATGAATTCAAACTCCACCTCTTGGGCCTCCAGAAGGGACTACGCTTC